ACCATCCCAGCTCCCCGATCATTATCCCCCCTCTTCTTAAAAGTAGAAGGCACATCTGTATTCCAGTGGAGTGTTACCTTCTTGGGGGCCCGTTTGCTTTGAGCAGCAGAGTGGGAAACAAGCAGGGCCAGGGAAGGAATCCTCTCTCCAGCACATCCACGCCCGGTTGATTGCTCTTGGTTTTTCCTGCTTTGTTCACGCTGACTAGACGAGTGCTCTGAGGAAGAGAGGTGATGAGATCTGCCTCAACCTTCTGTCTGCATCCATGTGCCATGTTAGTTCACTTCTAAGCTTTACCGTGAAAAAAGCTGAGGTTTCAATTTCATTAACTGTCCTCTCCAAGCGTCTTCTCAGTTCAGCATTTATGTCACAGATAGTTATCTGAGGATCTTGTAGAGGAAGTGAGTGTACAAACTGAATGACCTTTTCATAGCTTGGAGTTGATTTCTGAGAACTTATTTGATACTTTCTGAAGGTAATTCAATTCAATCCAGATGATCCTTATTAAAGTCAAAGGTTGAATTACACTAAGTGGCCATATTATGATCTCTGAACGCATAATAATCTGGCCACTCAGTGTGTGTGTGGTCAGATTATGCATTCAGAGATCATCATAATCTGGCCAGTGTGTATTAGCTAGAAAACTTTTGCTTTCGTTATATAACTTTCATTTCTGCTCTAAGATCCTCCTATCTGTGCTCTTTCAAAGAAGTTTCAGAACGAAGGGATGATTATAGGGCCTTCCTCTGGGACAGGCCATCTCCCGGTGGATGACTGTGAGGCCTAAGGATACCAGGGAGACTCAGCTGCCAGGATTTTTTGTTAAGTGCTTTCCTGCCAGGATAGTAGTGATGGTGAAGCACTCTAGGCCAATACAAGGAAGGAATTTTTACTCCTCACCTGAGGGTATTTTTCCATTGCTTTTTAGAGAGAGAGGGGGACAGAGAAAAATTGATGTGAGAAAAACACATTGATTGGTTGTCTCCTGGACAGGCCCTCACTAAGGCCTGGGCCGAGGAAGAGCCTATTACCGAGGTATGTGCTCTTGACTGGAATCAAACTTGGGACCCTTCTGTCCACAGGCCAACACTCTATCCACTGAGTCAAACCAGCTATGACACAAGGCAGAAATTTTTAGATTGAGCCAGCTCCCCTACCACAGTTCTGCTACATCAGTGATTTGAGGGCAATGGGTCAAAAAATGAAGTTCCTTGCTTCAGAATACCTACCCACCCCCACGTCAATTACCTTTGGTGAGAATTCTCTCAGAAAGACTGGTCATGTTAGGAAGGACTGGTTGGCAAATCGGCTTTCCCAGGATCTCAGGAACTTGTGAGACTTAAAAGGAGGACTTTCTCTTTCATGGGAAGAACGTGTACTTGGCTGCTTTGGCCCTTTTGTGTGTGTGTGGGGGGGGGGGGCGCGGGAATTTGGCCTTGTCTACAGCACTGGCTAGATATGACTTGGGGAGAGGGGAGCTCAGCTCAAAGGGAGAGCAAGTATTTGGGGACATACTTGTACCTTTAGCTCAAAGTAATCTAATACATTTTTGCTCCATTTTACGACTAGAAAAAAAGTGTAATTTCTGTGTTAAAAAAACAAAGGGACCAGACCAAACACTGGTCATCTGTTTTAAATTGGAAAATATAAGATTACTTAAGACTTACAGTACCGGAGTCAGCCGACTTGAGATGAAATGTTCTGTTTAATTGGGAGTACTTCTTGTGTTAAAACTCTTAACTACTATGTAGTTTTTGAAATTACATACCTTTGTTGGAACAAGTCAGATGGTTATGGCCCTGGAATGAAGATACTGTGTCTGAGGACGGGGAAAAACGGCTTAGCCAGCCAAGTTAGGTAGAAAGTTGCATTGTTCATTCCTAAACAAGGGCGGTTTTCTTTTTTGATGTGCTTTCTGCTCCTTCTCCATGCTTGGCAGTAAGAGCGGTATGGAACGCCAGGGTCACCCTGTCCGCCTGCCTCTACTTCCTGGTTGCTGTGCCTGTGCGTCTTCCACTTGTTGGTAATAGTGCACAGTTTTTCTTGTATTTTCAAGGATGCTTAGGTAACTCCATGGTAAAGAATTCATTCTCAGGCCTCCTAAAGTTATGTATCATTTGAAATTGTTCCATTTGAGGAAAAACATTTAAAAGCTCTAGTCACCAGGAAAGAATGCCATGAGAAACCTAAGTACTGAGACATAAACTACTAAACCAAGTGAGGAATTGGGCCAGTAACTGTATGGCAATAGCTCGATCATAGTTACCATTTTTCCCACCACCAAAGAAAGATGAAATAGTTTCCATAACATGGAATGTGGACAAGGCTCTATCCTTAATGCAGACTTAGATATGCAGTTGTTTGTCTCAGGCTATTTGTGGTGAATAAGCATGGTATTTTTAAATGCTCTTGGCGGTCTTGGAAAAATTTCAGGACTTTAAACTTGTTGACAAAATAGTTATTTCTAAATCTGATTTACTTAATATCTAAACATGGACAAAGTACTTTTAAATCTGATATGTCACTGCAAGTGGCTTTATAGTGGTTGCTTAAAAATAATACTTAACATGACTAAAGGATTTGTAGCTCTAAGTTATTCTAGTTCTACTAAGAACCATTTCTAAAAGCATCTTATAAAGGGTAGCTTGAGGACCTGTTTTCTTATTTTAAGTCTCAGCAGAACTATGCATATTGTAGAACATCTAAGGTTTCAACAGAGCACTAATGTTCTCTCTTTAACGGACTTTTATGAAACACACCATCTGAGCTTTAACTGACCACCTTTATAGAGTGAACGTGTGGGGCAATTCTTGAGAGGAAGCGAGCAGCACTGTGCCCGACAAGCTGCTGGGTGTGTGCTAAGGTCCCTGTTCGCCTGAACATAAGTGGTGTTTTTCAAATACCCAGGAAAGATTCTGAAAAGTTGGGAGCTCAGTCTAAAACACCTCAGGTTTTGTCTAAAACACCTCAGGTTTTAAAAAAGGGAGGTGGGGCATGTTTTAAATTCAGCTTCCTTAAACTATTGGCAAGAGCCGCTCACATTCATGTTTTAACAAGCCCAATTGCAGTGCCTGCCCATGGCTCACTGATTCCCCAACACACTCCGTTCTGGATCTTAGACTTTTATGGAACGTGAGCTCTTTAAAATACATTTTGGTGGTCCTTAAGTTGTAACCATCGGTGGCATTCTTATTCCAATTGTGTTTTTCATTTCTCAGTCTTTGGACCCATTGCCGGAGAGACATCTGACTAAAAAGAGTCTATTACATAGATAAGATCTTACGTGGACAATACAAAAAGTGGGGTAAATTAAAGCAAACTGCTCATGCTGGTCCTTGTTGTAAAGGGCAGGTATGTAAATTTACTCTTATAAGTTAGCTCTATAGTTAAAATAACTCACTTAAAAATTCTTTCGCTTTGTGAAAATTTAAGACCATGTGTAAACTGGGCAATATCTCTATCTTAAATGAGAATAATTAATAGCTGGGGTGACCATATATACATTCTCTAAAATTCAAAGCAAAGACAGTATCTAATTGCTATTTGCAATACTTTAAAAGTAGAACATATTCCTAATAGATACCAGTTAGAATGTATGTTTCTTGACATGACAGTATAAAGCCACAGATATTTAAAGCTTCGAGTTAATACGGCATTAAATTACTGTGTTTCCTATTATATAATTTCAAAAAAAGAAAAGGAAAAAAGCTTTATCTCATAGTCCTATACCAAAATAAATTTTCCATGAGAAAATTGAGGCCTATTTACATGCAATCAATTTAACAACCATGCTAGACTATATTTTAGGGGAGAGTGTCAAATTGATGTCACTAAATTAATCTAAATCCAACAGTTATTACAGCTGTGCTATAGAAGAGGTCAAAGTCAGTATTAGAAATATTATACTTTATTGAGTTCTAGAGCAACTAATTGACCCTTCCATGTTGACCAATGACATAAGAATGAAGGATAAAGTTAGGAGTCTACACCATTGTACTGGGATAATACCCCTTTCCCTAGTGTATACAGTAATGATCCATTCTTGTTCAAGACAAGAAGTGATTTTTGGGATTCTGAAGTGAATTCATTCACACTGATTGTGCCCTCAGCTTTTGTAAAGTTTTGGCTTTCAGAGCCCACGTTCTATCTTCTACTGCTTGACAATGAAACTCAGCACTCAACTTGAGAGGATAGAGAGAGCTGGAATTCAGTAGCACAAGCCACACAATGTAGCCCATACCAGTGAATTACTCAGTTATGCTGTAATATAAAAAGTTCCTCCTTTTCTTTTGGGGGGGGCTGTTCCTTTGTCCTCTTTCAACTAAATTCTTCTATAGATCTGTCCCAGATGAGAAGATTGTTTTTTGAAAAGAAAAAAAGAAAAAAAGCTTATCAATCATAGAACTATAGAAAGATGAAACTTTTGCCTCAAAATGAAACTGCTGCAGTCCATTCCAGATCAGCCCTACAGCAAGCAGAGAACACAAGGAACTTTGACCTAAACAGAAGACTACATTTGATCCTGGAAACAATGTATTCTCCACTGACATACAATACTATGTAATGCACTGAAAAAGATGGATTTTGGAGTAAGAGCACAATTTGTAACATAACAGCATTTTTGGATCACCTCTTCCATCATCTTCCTCCTTCCACCTGAGACACTTAACAGACTGATGATGAAACAAGGCAAGGAAACAGTGTCACAAGCCACAACGGAGCCATCTTCATGCAATTCAGCCCAGCTTTTACCCTTCCTTTTTCCTAATACAGACTCCATTATAATTTTAAACCATCTGTAAAGAGTGTAGACACACAAAACTAAAACAAGTATCTCCCTACGATTAGAATTGTCTTAAGGGCTTCAGAAACTTTTCAGATATACCTTTGATGGAATGCCCCCCCCCCACTCCCGCTAGGACCCAAGCAGAGACATGGTCTGCTCCTGTGAGTCCTGCCAGAACTGGTTTAATGGGTGTTCAGCATTTTGGTTTTCGTTCTTATTCTTCCTCTTCCTCCTCTTCATCATCATCTTCATCATGGCAGTGTGTGATTTCCTGGGGGGCCAGTGGGAATAGGTTGGGGGGTTTAATCTCACTAATCGACCGTGTCAACTGGTGCCGCTTGTAGTCAGTATCTTTGAAATCCACTGAAGTACGGTTCCGAGTGGCGAGCGGGGACTCCATCTCATTGATATCTACATGGGTGTGTTCCACCGTAGATTCATGAGGCATCTAGAACAAAGTCATAGTTCCAAGTCATAGGTTCAGAGAGCAGTTGGAGCTATTTCCCAAATCCTAACCTCTCTGGTTCAAAGATGCTTTAATGATGCTATCACAATTCCAGTAAGTGCACTGCATCATTAACATTACAAACATGCACGGTCTTTCTTTTGACTAATGTTACTTGAAAACTTTCCACTCCCAACACTGCTCTACCATGTGGGTGCAGAAAGAGTATGTCCATTTCCACAGGCTCCAGCAATCTGAGTGCCATTAATCAACCAGGCAATATAAATATGCTGAAAGTGTTGGGCTTTTCTAAAGCGTATGACTGCCCAGGTTTATCACACAAGCAAAGTATGAAATGATCCAACAGCAAATGATTCAGGAGCCCAGGCAACTAAGGTAACAGGATGCGCATTATACAGAGGGCAGCCATAACTATCTCATACCTTGTATTTAGTGTTCACCAGCAGATAAATCATTGAGTTACAATCTACTTTTAAAATAATGTCATGAGCTTTCCACTAGCATTTGGTTGAAGAGGTTAATGATCAGCTGCCTGCCGCCTGTGTAAAGAGCCTTTTCTGAATCACTGGAGTTCTGGCTGAGCTAAGGTTGAGCTTAGCAGTCCAGTTTTTGACGATTTCTATTTTTCCATCTTCCTAAAAGCACTGCTCCACAGTGAGCTGCTCCACTTTCCCCACTCTTCCTTGCTTAGAAATCAGATGAACTCTAAGCTTTCTCTTGAGTTTGTTTCTTTAAGCTTTCCTATTGACTTATTTCAGTTTGGTGATCACTACTGCATGGATACAATTCTTAGCAGTGGTCTAGCCCACACAGTTTATTCCTTGATTCTCTAGTTCTTATTTTAAAATATCTTCAGCCTCATGTGTACACTTTCCAGCAAAATTTTTAAATGCTACTTTGATTGTATTCACTTAAGTTCCAGGAAAGTGGTGGCAACTTCTCTCACAGATCTGGGAAGCTTCCCGATCTAGTTAAGCTTAGTGACGTCTAAGAGCTCCTCTCTCTCTGTAGGTGGCCATGCAGAGAGCTGTCCATCATGGACCAGAGGCCAACCCAGTTTAGGTACTGAAGTATTTCCTGGAACTCCCTAAAGCCGCCTACCCTCTTCTTACTCAATCCTCAACACTGTGCCCAAATCATGTACTATAGCCTGAACTGGGTAAAATGAGAGAAGAGCGCCTTATTTCCTTTCTCACAGCAAAAGCATTCCTGAAACACAGATCACATTTCATAGGAATATGAAAACCACATTTCTCTCATTTAGTGCGAACAAAAGAGGAAAGACTCCTTTTTGTGCAACCCACCGTTGGTCTCTGTGCACATTAGAAAGGAATAATGCCAACTTCTCTGGTGCCATCCACAAGTATGTTAACTGTAAAACTGTAACCGTAGCTTACAGCTGCACTGACTCACCAAGACGTGGGCAGCTCTGAAGAGGTAGCTGAACGGGTAATACAGCAGGTTGATGAAAGATGCGGCGTAGAGGTCAGCATAACGCATCACCTGGCTGGCAAAAAGGGTTTGCCGGGAGCCACTGCGAAACAGGCTTCCCATCATCCCATAGCACATGTCCATGTCATGAGTTACTTTCTAAATTAAAGAATAAAACTGTCAGCTCATTCAAAAACATTTGTGCACCAGCTATGTGCCAGTACCTGTACAAAATGAGAAATACGAAAAATCACTTAAACTTTATTTTGCAAGTTTTCTCCCAAATCCCATTTGGATACCTTAATTCGTCTCTGGATGGAGCTAATGTCTGGGCGCTCATTGCTGCTGCTGTCAAGGTGCCTGGAGACAATTGAGAAATCCAGTGAGAATCTCTCTAGAAAGGATTATCTCTCATACCTATGGGATTCCCAAAAAGGTAGGGAAGTTTTAGGGGAAAAACTTACTTGTAGAGTTCAGCCAAGAAAATATCCAAGCTCTGAAGCTCTTCAAAAAGCGCTTGTTATGGTTTGGAAGGAAAAAGAAAATATTTTAGATAAAAAGCATCGTTTTTGATTACTGCTGAAACTACATTTAAAAAGGTTGCAGATATAACTGAAAAGTAAAGCCACAGGTGAGTGTGTAAAATATCTTCCCTGCCCCCTTCAGTAAAACCTCTGCTACCCGGCCTGCACTCTGGTAGCAGATGAACATCAGTGTTTCCTCTGCCTTTTTTCTACTGACTCACCGCTGACCACAACTCTTCCAACTGGATGCTGAGTCTAAGCTTACAAAGTGCCAATTCACACCCCATCTCAGGTGTGTCAGAAAAGCAAGTATTAACAGAATGAGGGGACCTGTCCATAGTTACAAGTCTAGGAAATAGGGCCAACTCCACTAAATTTCTAAAACTTCCTAAGTGGGAAGTTGAAAATGTGGATGAAAGGCTAGCCAGAAAATTCCACTGGTAAGTACAAACAATACCAACCAATACCAACCAACAGCCAGCACCTGCTGCATGCTGCCTCTGTGTTCCAGCTTTTCTCCACCTGGGTTCCCCAAAGAGAATTAAGCCTTAATGTAATCATTGTATAGGACACATTTTCTCTGTTCTGTTTCAGATGAGGAGCCCTGGTTGAGAAGGGTTGTTACTTGTATCTTCCTTATATATACCTTACCTCAGCTTTATGAGGTAGGTATTACTATCCACATTCACACTTGAGGAAACGAAGGCAGAGGTTGCCAGTAACTTGCCTAAGGGCATGCAGGCATTACCTTTTACCACACTGTTTGAAGTTATGTAAAGATACAAATCCACTGCTCACATTTCAGTGTCCACAGAATAGCTCAGTTCAGAGAATGGAATTTGGCCCCATTCTCTACTTCTCAGAAGAACAAATAAGTATTAGGAGGTGATTAACACCCAGAGTCACAGAGCTTGTAGCAGAGAGATTGGAAGGACTAGCATGGTTGGACAAACAGGGGACTAACGAGGAGAGTGGAGTTCCCAGGTTAGCTGCTATTCTAATAAAACTCAGTAACATTTTATACTTAAAAAATTAAACAAGATAACATCTCTATTTCCTCCAATTCTGGACGTCTGGGGAAGAATTATATAAGTATCAGGGCCCATCTTTTGACCCTCCTGCATAAAAAGTACTGGTTCACAACTGGCCACTTATATAAATTAACTCTATCAAAGATTTATAAAATAAAAAATGGCTCCTTACAACTCTTATCAGTCCAGACATGAAGCTCCTGTGCAAGTTCAGGAATCACCAAGAAAGTTCGCCATCCTTGTCGTTTCTTTGACTTCAAAATGTCCCCAAAAATATGATCTCCAATATACAAAATGTCCTTGCCCTTGGCTCCCAACAGATCACAGATTGTATCAGATGAACCTGAAACAAAATAAAAAAATGTCCCCATATTAAAAAACAGCATTCTCACTACCATAACGATTAAATACTGTGCTGATTAATTTCTTGTAAATACTTGTAAGAACACACTAGAAAAAAGGCTCACCTAAAAGTCAAAGACCCACAATTTATCTTTTTCTCATTTTTTTAAATTGCCTCCTACATGTCTCGGCATTAGTACTGACTATACCCCTCAAAAGTACCACCACTTTTTGTCATCATAGATCTGCTATTAATTTTATCACTCTAACAAAATATGTATTTATGTCCCATAGGACTACCCCCAAATGATTTCAAGACACTGAGAAACAGCCTCAAATAAGTAAAACAATGATTGGGTGAAAAGTCAAAGATTCATTAGAACATACTAACAACTTCTCAAACCCATTCTCCCTGACTCCTATTGCATTACTAGAGGACTGAAGTATTTACTTGCAGTAGATAGCTTTAGGGTACTAAAGGGCATATGAGCCACTATGCTAGGAGGACATCAATGCTTTCAGGGTGAGGTCTGAGCAGAGAGACAAACCAAATAAAGGGAAGGCTGCAACTCACCTCCTGAGTAGACAATACCATGCTGTAAGGGCCCTGTGTAGGTACCAATTTTCAGCTTGCCAGTTTTCTGTGAGAAGAGAATATGAACTTTGTAATACTTTATCATTCTATCATAATGTCTACCCAAAATGCTATTTGGCTAAACAAACAAATGAAAGACACTTTTGAATTATTTGGCTACCTCAATTAAAACCAAGTCTTAGAATAATTTCAAGAGAGAGATACAACTAAGTAGATAAAAATACCTATTTCCTTAGGGAGAGTGGGAGTGGGAGAAGGAGAAACAGGAAGGACAATGTGCAGACAGAACATCCCCTCAACTTACAGTATCCACCTGACGAAGTACTGTGCCTTCTCCAAAAAAGAGTGGTTTCCGTGCATCCACCAAGATCAGGTCAAAGTAGGACTGCCATGGTCGATGGGAGCTCCCAGGCTGATGAAGCAGAAACAGCAAAAGCTGAAACATCACTCCTATCCTTAAAGTACTAATATTTAATCTCATTCAGATGCAAGGAATGTAGAAATAGTAAGTATACTCAGAAGATACCAGTTTTGTTAAAAACATTGTGTCTTATAAGCCATATCCTTTTGGAAGCAGGCAAGGTGAAAATATAAATGAATGACTAATAATCTCTACATTTAAAATCATTTCACCTACTTAACTTATTTCACAGAAATTTAACGTATGAAAGCGTGCTCACACTCAAAAAGAGGCTCAAGGAGGCTGAAAAGAGTTGCAGATCCGTACCCAAGAGTAAAATGAAGGGAGAGGCTGATTAGCCTCAGCACAGCAGTATACAAACCAGCATGGGACTACTAGGAAATTTCACTGGGTAAGACTTCAGAATGATGGCTCGAGGTGCACATTGGCCTTTGGCTCCTACTGCAGGCCAACCACAGCACTAATGTAACAGTTATGTCCATCGCCATGATTTCCATTCTGAAACAACCTTTTGAGGTCAAGCTGAAGAGCACTGCTTTTGGGTGATCTCAAAATAGGGATTTACTGATATTTTTTTAAAAGCCTAGGATTACAACAGCATGGTACAAGTATATGATTAACTTGCAAGGAATAGTCCCTTAGATCTAAGTGCAGCCATACTGCAGAAATAAAGATACCTCTGCTTAAGTATCAAGTTTAACTGTTCCCTTAGCATAAAACTCATCAATAACTAAGCAAAATCTAAAAGCTGTCAAGAATATACACATTTTCTGTTTCTTTCCATCAGTTAACTTCCTCAACCTGAAAAACCCACAAACTTAACTTTACATAGAAGTTCTTGGGCATAAAATTATCCTACTAAATGCCATATGAATCTCTCTTTTATCTTTGTCTACTAAGTTTTCAAGTTGCTTGAGACTTAAAATAATATACCAACACCTGCATTACTTCTAATGTTAATGAAGATTTCTGAATGGGTCCTGACCAATTAATTCCTTAACATCAATATTCCAAGCTGATTAAATACATTCATTATTACTAAAACAATGGTCTAATAATTTACATATAGTACCTTGGGGCCATGTGGGAAATCAAACAGGTAAGTCATAATTTTCTGGAGGAAAAAAAAAACAAAGTTCCATATAACACTTCTACAAAAGATATAAAACACTATTTAAAAAAACCACTTGAGTTTTTCATAAAAATGTCTTTTTCAATCTAGGATTTATCACATTCTTCTTTCCTCTAAAGTTTATGAAATCATAGCTATAAAAGCCAGAAATTAATGCTTATCATAACAAACATACAGAAGCCTCTGACACTCTCAGTAAGGACATCAGATTCTTCTAGGAGATATTAGGTACAGATTCATCCATATATCTCTAATTCTAGTGACTGGAACACACTTTTGGAGGTAAGGGTCTTCTGAGGTAAGAGCATAGAGAAAACTAATGACTCATAGTCTTGCTTATTACAAATCATCAGATTTCTAAGATAAGATTTTACATAAAGAATTGGGAAATACTGAGCTTTTTTCTAGTACCATGAACTTGTAACTGTCTTAGCGAAAGTAAGATGAGGAGTTAAATTGGCTTTTCTACATTCGTTAATCTGGCAAAAAAGCACTTAAGCAGTAGTAACTTTTGATGGCTAAAAATAAAAACATCTTCGCACTATCTATGCTGTCGGGCATGTGTTCATGTACAATAAAGAGAGTGACTTAAGTTTATATAAATGATGTGCCAAAGAGACATAGAAGACATTTTGATCAGCATAAATGTTTTGAATAACCTCCAAATTAAAGCATCCAAGTAGCCAATTGTAATTAGGGAAAATAGTCCAAAGAAATATTTAGAAAAATGTGAGAATCACTCTGATGTAGCTCTTATGCTCTTTTCACTGCTTTTAAAATGAAGTGGCAAAACTATCCTTAATAAACTATTACCCTCCTTGTTATCTTCAGTTCTTTAGGCCAAAATAATTCCTCTGTATAAATAAACAAATATGAAAATTAAGCACTTACATCTGTATATTTATAGTCACTGTTGGTGGCAAGAAATACTTTCCCTACTTCCTTCATCCGACTCAGAAGCAAAGGCAATTTTCCCTGAAATGTAATATAATGATGAGTGAAGCAATAAACCCAAATATTATACATATTCATTTACTGTGGAATAGTCACATACTGGACTTTTGTCCACTGAAATAAGAACAGGGGATGCCCTTTAAGGTTGGATGGCTTCAGATTTCTGTGTTGAGAAGATGACATTATCACTATGCATAAGTATTAACATATATAATATACATGGTGTATATAATATAGATTTTATATATAAAACTAGAGGCCCGGTGCACGAAATTGGTGCACAGGTGGGGTCCCTAGGCCTAGCAGGCAATCAGGGCCATCTTGCCCACTCCCAACGGGGGGCCAGACTGGCTGGAGTCTGCTGGACAAAGGGAGGGACTGTGGGAGGTTTGCCAGCCTTGGGGAGGGATCAGGGGTGGTTGGCTGTGGGAGCACACTGACCACCAGGGGGCAGCTCCTGCGTTGAGTGTCTGCCCCCTGCTGGTCAGTGCGTGTTGTAGTGACTGGTCGACCAGTAGTAACGGTTGCTTAGGCTTTTATATATATAAATAGATGATACACATAAATAATAATATGCTTTCTAAAAACATCTCTACTTTCCCCATATTTGCCTCAGGAAAGAGTTTAGATTACTTTGTAATCTTAGTATATGAATTAGATATGTTAGAGATCAGGGGAAGCTGATTTTAAACAGCAAAATCCTCTATATGGAGATTTAGCTTCATTGTACATATTTTCATTTAAAAAACAAACACCTTGTATAATTGAATTACATGTGTAGGATACAATTTAGAAATGCCTAGACTCACCTAAAGAAACAAAGTTAATTCTAACTCCCCTAGCCAGAAAGAAAAGATTTCCCTTTTCTCACAATAAATAGGTCCCTTTACTCAAGTTCTCCTGGACCTCTCCTGAACCCCTCAGCATTTTTGAAACAAAGATTGGGGTGAGTGGGGAGAAAATAGGCGGTACAAAGACTGAAAATAATAAGTAATCTTTACCAAAATACTTTTTGAGGAAATAATGCATTATGCTACTTTTCCTCTGTGAGAAAAAGAAATGTGTTTTAATTTTGAAGTAATTTCAGACTTACAGTTGTGAAAACAGTAGAGGGTTTCTATATATTCCTCATCTAGCTTCCCTTAATATTAACATTGTACGTAACCACAGCACAATAACCAAAACTAAGAAATTAACATTGACACAATTCAATTAAATAAACTACAGGTTTTTCTGAATTTTATTAGATTCTCCTCTAATGTCTTTTTAGATATTTTTAAAGCTTTCCCTATTATTTCCTGTTGATAGGTTAAAGACAATTTAGTATATGTGCTGCCGAAGCGAGCACAAGGCTAAAGACAATTTAAATAAATTACTCTGTACATTGTTTAGATGGTGTAGCACAGTGGCTAAGATTTGGGTTCATTACTTATTAGCTGTATGAACTTGGCCAAATTATTTAATCCCTTTATTCCTCAGTTTCATTTGTTCCTATGCAGCAGAGGTAACAATGCCTTCGTGGCTTATACAGCAGAGTAAGCAGGATAATGCATGTAATCACTCACTCAGCACATTGATAAGCACACAATAACCTCTCTAGCTGCTATCATAATTAGAGCTGCAAACACAAATGGAATACTAGGTCTTCTTAATTATCAATAAGCAGGAAAAACTGTACCAAACATATGCTCTGGCTGAAAACTCTTGGTAATTATACTTGGCATATATTATAACAAGACAAGGAAATACATATCTTCCCCTGTGAATTTCATTTTAAATAGACTTATTAATTTCCCTAATAGGTTAAATAAGCTATCATGTAGATTCCCCTTTAATACTTACATCTTTAACTACATACTTCTCAAGATTTTCAACTGTCTTTTCTTTAAGGGAGCCCTAGAGGAAGAAAAACCAGAAATAAGAACAAAATCAGTCTAAATTTATAAGACAAATTATGTCTACTATCAACCCAGACACATCATTTAAGTATTACAAAATGGAAAAGCAAATACATTGGAGAAGACCAGGATAAAGTAGCAGATGTGATTTGCTCCAGCTCTGCTTCTAAAATGTATTTAAAATATAAAATTATTCTTATTTTAACCTAGACATCAAAAAGCATTTCATATTTTACTCAGTACAATTTATAGTAAATGTTAATATACTTATTAACGTTATCAGTCAAGTATTTGGGGGTGGGGGGGTGGAAAGGACCATAATTATACTCATAGGATACAGCAAGTATAAAATCTCTAAATGTGTTTGTGAAATAAGATCTAGAAATCAAGCACAATCTGAAAGCAGGACAATCAAAGACAAGAACAAAGTATTAAAGTATTATAAAGAGCTATCACTAGGGGGCAAATCTATTTGGGGGGGGGGTTGTTTGTGTGTTTTGATTTGTTTTGTTTTAAAGGGAAAAAACTCGGTTCTATTTGCACCTAAAAAGTTAATGTCAAACAATATAAAACACATGCCAATGAGTGAGTAGGTACCTTATAATGAACCCAGTCAACAGCATCCCTGACATCCTGGAACATACTCCGGTAAGACATGAAGAGGTCCCCATCTTTAAATCCTGTTTCACAGCTACAGAGAGATGAAAAGAACATGATAGGGAATCCAAAGGAGGGTAAATAAAATATCACACCTTACCCAGGGACCCAAAGGTTCCATTATCACATGGATAATGGCACTGGCTAATTAGGAAAATAATTACTCCCTAATGAAAATCCACCTGGCCACCAGAGATGACTATAGTGTTCAATGGAATACAATAACAGTGAACAAATACAAAATGATAGAATACACTGAATGGAAGCTAAAGGCCAGTTCCAAAAACATCAAGTTCTTTTATTCATCACTTTTAAGAAACAGGTTCCATCAGAAAAACATTTAAAACTTAAAGTTGGTAATTTAGGTTCTCTCTACCCTGCCTTTTCTAACATCTCTAGTTACAAAGGGTATTGCCTATTTTCTATGTAGCTTAGCTACTTAGCACTCTACCAAATTCAGTGCCTTGAAGTGGGTAAGGCCTAGAGAGGATAAGGAAGTTAGCAAACTCTAGCAGATATAGCTGAACTTTCAGCAGTGGTTATGCAAATTCCTAAAAAAGGGAGTATAACTTAAGCAAAATTTTACTTCAGGGAGGATAAACAGTATTTATTTCTCAATCAAGTCTTGCTGGGCCTGGGAATGAAATTAAATTACCATCCCTGAATGGCTCCTGGGTAGCTGCTGTGAAATGAGTAGGGGGGTTTTAGTGTAATTCTGCTTGACAGATAATCATCACACAAACCTCCCACTCAGTTGTCACAATTAGCACCTCTGCTGGCCGTCTTCATTCCCAGGAGAAGCCAATCAGAAGTGGTCCCTTCCAAACATGGCTGCAGCACACTGGCAAGAAGAGGGGCCGAGTGGGAGGTGAGAGCCTGCATGGAGCTGCTGGTGCCGTCCCATCTCTCAGGCTGGCAAGAGGCATCTCTCACTAGTACTAAATTCACTTCAGAAAAGCAGAAAAGACCTACAATGGCCAGTTCTCTAAAACCCTGTACATTAATTTTTTTAAAAATCAATTGGAAAAAAATTATAGCATTTACATACCTGGTATATCTGGGACAATTAGTAAAAAAATCTACTAGGCAGGCCAACAGGTAGGTTTCTGAAAAATGAAGAATAGATATTTATAAGCTTTAGGTGAGAAAATTAAAATTATTTTATCTCCCTTGAGCAAAGATAATCATGGAAAGAAGAGAAAGCATCAGTTATATAAGCATAGAATGAATCTACCTGGTAGGTTGAATAATGTATTCAGAATGTAAAATCTTTCAGTGTCATCTCGTTGGATAAATTTATTTGGATACTGCTCTCTAGTTTCTGGTCTGAAAGAAAGAAATTTTAATTAACTGGTACTCAAAAAACTAGCATTATAAAAACTATGAGAAATATTCATCATTCAAAAATCATTCAAGCCTGGTCAGTGTTGCTCAATGGTTGGTTCCCAGTTAGGGCACATCCTCTAGTTGCAGTAGGGGGCATGGGAGGCAGCCAATACATGATTGTCTTTCATCATTGAAGTTTCCCTCTCTCCCTCTCTGTTCCTTTCTGAAGTCAATAAATTCTTAAAAATTCATTCAAATATTCTAATAGCTACTTGTAAGGCAGACTTCCAAATCCTATCTAATAAAAGAGTAATATGCAAATTGACCATCACTTCAACACACAAGATGGCTGCCACAAGATGGCCAGTTGGGGGCGATCAAGCCTGCAGGGCAGGGCACTTAGGGGTGACTAGACTGGCAGAGGAAGGAAGTTGGAAGGGACCAGGCCTGCAAGGGAGGGCAGTTTGGGGGTCGGGGGAACCCCAGGCCTGCAGGGGAGGGCAGTTGTGGGTGATAAGCCCAGCAGAGGAAGGCAGTTGGGAGGGACCAGGCCTGCAAGGGAGGGCAGTTGTGGGCAATCATTTCTGCAGGGAGGACAGTTAGGGGTGACCGGGCCGGCAGAGGAGGGAAGTTGGGGGCGACTGGGCCTGCAGGGAAGGGCAGTTGTGGGGGACCAGGCCTGCAGGGGAGGGCAGTTAGGGGTGACCATGCCTGGAGAGGAGGGCAGTTAGGAGTGACCAGGCCTTCAGGGGAGGGCAGTTAGGGGTAACCAGGCTGGCAGGGGAGGGCAGTTAGGAGCAATCAGGCTGGCAGGGGAGTGGTTAGGGGGTGATCAGGCTGGCAGGCAGAAGTGGTTTGGAGCAATCAGGAAGGCAAGCAATTGGGAGCCACAAGTCCTGGACTGTGAGAGGAATGTCTGACTAAAGATCAGGTCTAAATGGGCAGTTGGACATCCCTCAAGGGGTTCCAGATTGGAGAGGGTGCAGGCTGGGCTGAGGGACACCACCAATCCCCTAACCTCCCCCCACCCGCCATGAATTTCGTGCATCAGACCTCTAGTATTACACATAAAGATGGACAAGCTCAAGTTGAAGCCCTAAAAAGTGTTCCATCTGGCCTTCACTGGTGTGCTCAGTTGGTTAGAGCATCGTCCTATGCACTAGAACAGTGGTCACCAACTGGTGGTCTGCGGATCTGTGAGGTCTGAAAGGTTGGCAACCACTAGTTTAAAGAAACCTTTGGAGCAGCAGTTGCCAACTGGTGGTCTGTGAGGTTGGCGACCACTGCACTTAGAAGGTCACAGGTTGGGTTCCTAGTCAAGGCACATTACATAGGTTGATCCCTGTTTGGGGCACATACAGGAGGAAACCAACTGATGTACTAGAATCTCTCTCACATTGATGTATAACTTTCTCAAATGAGTATTTCTCTCTTCTTTTTTTCCTCTCTAAAATACATTTCTAAAAAGCGTCAGTCTGATAAGGGACAATTATCACAAGGTAAAAAAATCACAAGAAAGGTGCAAAGAGCTATGAGAAAACTGAGTAAGGGGAGACATTACAACTTTAGGGACTAAGAAAAGTAAATGTGGGAGTGAGGATTCATGAAAGGTGTGGCATGTGAGCTGACCCTTAAAGGCTAGGCAGACCAATTTAGAAACTAGTCCAATTTGAGTAGAGAAGGGGGAGCAGAGAAAAATAAAACTAGAAAGATAAATTGAGGCAGATTATGCTATTGTTCTTAACTTCCTTCAAGTCCAAAGTGCCATTCACAGTGTTTAAGAATAGGGATAACATCAGAAGAGCTAAATTATAAAAGAAATCAATTGCAGTCTTAGGATAAAATGGAAGGGGGGAAAAAGTGATATGTTGCAAAAATGGCTACAAATATCTCTTTGTAATATGACTTTGCAGATCCTATTATGAGACTTCATCCTTTAATACAGGCTTGAACAGCAATAAATGGGATCCAAACAGACTTTGAAAACACATGGGCACTGAGGCTTGGCCTACTCTTGCTGCTCTTGGAACTCTGAGACTGCTATGTGAATGAAAGCGAGATAGCCTGCTGGATAATAAAAGGCTACATGCAGAAATGAGGCACCCAGCCGACAGGCTGCCAACTGCCGGACAGTGTTCTATTTCAGATAGAAAAATCATACAAATAGTCTAACGGCTACATGCAAGGCAGACTTCCAAATATTAAACATGAAGATGAACAAGCTCAGGTTGCAGCCTAAAGTTTTCAATCTGGCCCTGGCTGATGTGACTGGGTTAGAGCATTGTCCTGTGCACCAGAAGGCCATGGGTTCGGTTCCTCAGATCAGCTGAGGAACCCAGAATCCTCCAGCTAACTCTCAGAATTCTGAGCTAAATAAAATGGTAGTTGTTCAAGCTACTAAGTTCCGAAGTAATTTATTACTATGCAACTAAAGTTAACTGATACAGAAAGAACTATGAAATCAGTTATTGCAGTAGTCTGGATGAGAGCAGTAGGGTCTTAAGATGGCAAAGGAAATTTCTAAAGGAAAGGCATCTGATTGGATGTGCCAGATGAGAGAAATAAAATAAAAGGTAATGTATAAATAAATAAATAAATAAATATTTTAAAAGAAAGAAAACATAAGATAATAATAAAAGATAATAGCCCAGCTGGGTGTGGCTCAGCAGCTGAGTGTTGACCCAGCAACCAAGAGGTCATCAGTTCAATTTCCAGTCAGGGCTTGTGCCCAGGTTGTGGGCTCGATCCTCAGTGTGGGGCATATAGGAGGCAGCCAATCAATGATTCTCTCTCAGCATTAATGTTTCTATCTATCTCTCCCTCTCCCTTCCTTTCTGAAATCAATAAAAATATATTCTTTTAAAAAGATAATGATGTTCACATTAAGGTGTCTCTCAGAGGGTAGTGGTTCCATTAACAGAAATATAAGAATTAGGTAAAAAGTAGATGTAAGAGTAATTTTATTTTGGATACAGTAAGCTCAAAGCAAACAAATTTTTACGAACCATTAGAAACAAACATCAAGAACTTAAAACAGAGATTCCAACTTGAGAGATAACATCTACGCATATGTAGTAGGTGAAGTCATGAAGATTATTATTGAGTAGAGGAGGCCACTTAAGAGTACTGTAAAAAGAAAAGACTGAGAAAATATTCATGGAGAACATTTAGGGTTCAAAAGGAAAGAAACCAGTGGAAACAGAAGTTTTTAGTGACACACGAGAACCTAGGAGAGTAAAATAAAACACTGCAAGAGGAAGGGGATGGTATTAATAAAAATATTACAGAGAAACAGGAAGGGCAAAACACTAAAATATAAAAATATACAATTCCCAAGGTGAATTTATGGAGATCAACTAATAATCTAAGTAACAAACATCAAACTTAAAGTTCATACTCAGAGTAACTTGAATAAATTCCTGCTTGGGTTGGTTAACTACAATGTCATAAACTCTGGAAAATAAAATCACATTATTTCCTGTCTTTGTCACCCATCTGAATTAAAATTTCCAATAAATAATAACTTTGTAGAATATCTCATTTCTAGCTTTCCAAGATTTTCTGTAATGAAAATTAAGGTGAGAGGGAATAGTAATTATATGCATTGCCCCCTTAGACATACTTTCCTATTCCCTCCATCATTAAAGAATAATTCCTTTACAGAGGGATAATTAATAGTTATAAGGCAATTAGAACCCAAAAGACTTATACAGTTAACAATAACATTTTGTTTAAATTAAGTGCCAAATCATGCTAATATATCTTTTAAGTAAAAATTAATTCAGAGGGAGGTAATATATCATAAAAGAAGGAATGCTAGACTTAAAGTTGAGTAGAAAAGTTATATAGTACAAACTACTGCTAACTTTGTGAAATCCACAGAATAAAGATTTAATCTCAATATTGTCCTATTCTAAAACTTTAAAAGCCTTTGCAATTGAGGCCTCATTGGCAAGGCATTGTAAAGTGCCAGCCTTGTCTACCATGTTCTTCAAGAACTCTCTCTCTCCTTCATCTTCCATTCTCTGTCCCTTCTTCTCCATGGACTTTTTTACTCAAAGGACCATACAGTGCTAAGTGCTGGTTAAATGATTCTGCATTTACTCATAAATGACTTTTTTTTAAAACATTACTAAATTTATTTCCAAAGGAGTTGTTTGAAACAATACTGGCTTAGGGGAAGAAAGAAGGTCTTTGGATATTGAGTTAGTAAATCTAATTGCAGTACTAATTTATTATAGAACTGCTTCTCACCAAAACTGGTTTGGCTCAGTGGATAGAGTATCAGCCTGCGGACTGAGGGGTCCCGGGTTCGATTCCGGTCAAGAGCATTTACCTTGGTTGCGGGCATATCCCCAGTGGGGGGTGTGCAGGAGGCAGCTGGTCGATGTTACTCTCTCATTGATGTTTCTAACTTTCTATCCCTCTAACTTCCTCTCTGTAAAAATCAATAATTTTTTTATAAAAAAGAAAATAGTCTAATTATAAAAATAAAGCTTATCCTTACTTGTTTTAAATATTACCCTATATTCATTTTAACCCCATGTTTTAAAAATTTTAACATAATCAAATATTTGAAGCTTTCATTAGAATATAAAAAAATAATGTATTAGCTGTTAAAAATCTTAGTCATTTACACTGTTGTAGTTTTAAATGTTTCAAAACACTTTTATGTACATACCTCTTCTGAGCAGCTACCTGAGAACTGTATTAAAAAGGAGAAAATAAAAATCTTAGAATCTCAAATAAGTCAAAGCCACTGAAGTTCTTTTAGGGCAAGTTACATAATTACCTTTTTTGGATGATCCATCATTAGAAAGCACTTATTTTAAACAAAATATAACTGCTAGCTCTATTTATAAGTCAGTTTGGGTCTTACCTGCCTGATAAGTAATTGTAAAAAATCCTTATGTAAAAAATTGCTCTTTATTAATAAAACAAACAAACAAACAAATCACAGAGAAGTATATTGAACCCAGGAAGACACTGTCATCTTCATATTGTCAGACTATACAAATACTAGAAAGAGACTAAACGGTTTCTTTGAACTCACCCCCTTATGAAGTTAAAGCCATGTGCACAGACCAAGAGGTTTCCATAGGCATCAACTTTCAAAAGATTTCCATAGAGTGTATCGAAGACAAGTCCCCTAAGTGAAAATGAAAACATTATCAATAATGCAAAACAATACAGGCAATAATCTTACATTACTTGATCACCATGAACCAAACTCATCTTATTCAAGCTTTATGGCAACTCAAGTATGTCCCAAAACAACATAACCCTAGAGATTAAAGTAAGTGAAAAAAATCTTAAAAACTAATCCCAGCTGAGGCCGGTTTGGCTTAGTAGATAGAGGGTCAGCCTGCGGACTGGAAGATCCGGGTTCAATTTCGGTCAAGGGCATGTACCTTGGTTGCGGGCACATCCCCAGTGGGAGCTGTGCAGGAGGCAGCTGGTCAATGTTTCTCTCTCATCGATGTTTCTAGCTCTCTGTCCCTCTCCCTTCCTCTCTGTAAAAAATCAATAAAATATACTTTTAAAAAATCAATAAAATATATTTATTAAAAAGAAAAAAACCTAATCCCAGAGCAACTAAAAATTATTTACTCTGTCTAGATAATTAATCATAACTGTTTTCTATAAGGAACGAGAGCTTAATATAGTTTAAGGTATAAACTATAATTCCTCTTAATACAGATGGTTCCATCCTAAAACAGTCTTAGTTTCCTTGGACAAAACTGAATTAGTTTATATTTCCTTCTTTTAGATGTTGTATATGGAACATATATGATGGTAACATCTAAAAAAAACCCCACAATTTTTCTTTCTTATCAAATTTATTAATGCAAACTATCAAAAGGTTCCTCTAGCCCAGTGGTTTAACATTGACCTATGAACCAGGAGGTCACAGTTCAATTTCCAGTCATGGCATGTACCCAGATTGCAGACTTGATCCCCAGTGTGGGGTGTGCACTGATATTTCTATCTTCTCTTCCTCTCCCTTCCTCTCCGAAATCAATAAGTATATACATATATTTTAAAAAGGCTCTCTTAACCCTGACCAGGTAGGTAGCTCAGTTGATTTGAACATCAACTTAATGCACCAAGGTTGTGCATTGGATCTCCAGCCAGGACACATACAAGATGCAACCAATGAATGCATAAATAAGTGGAACTACAAATTAATATTTCTCTCTCTCTCTCTCTCAAGTCAATCAATACTTTAAAAAAAAAAATGGCTCAGTGGTTGACCATTGACTTATGAACCAGGAGGTCATGGTTCGATTCCAGGACAGGGCATATGCACGGGTTATAGGCTCAATCCCCAGTGTGGAGCATGCACAAGGCAGCCAATCAATTATTCTCTTTCATCAGTGATGTTTCTATCTCTCCCCCTCCCTTCCTCTCTGAAATCAATAAAAATATTTTTAAAAATAAAAAGTTTAAAAAAATAAAAGAGGCTCCTGATTACCAAATTAAGTGTATTAGCAAAACTTGTAACTGTTTTCCAACAACCAAAATTATATATATCCGTGACTGATTACTGCCCATCAGATTTACTAGTAATCTTGTTTCTTTTCCATTAATGGATCTCCTTCAATAACAATAAATGAAGCTCAATTCAAGAACAGAAAAGATATGGTAGTAGACATGAATAGTCCTTGATCATTTTAAAATCAACACCAACCAACTGAAAAGGAAAACATACTTTATTTTTTAATCAGGGCTGCATTTGGAATTATTAATTTGGGGATAAGTGGGGTCTTAATCCAAAATAATCTTGAAAAATTACCTGGTAGGGAATGTAGAATCATAAGCAAAGCTGAGCAGTTCCTGAGGATAGCCAATAGAAACTAATCTCTCCACAGTAAGCTCAAAACCAAGGGACTCGTACTCTGGGGACTTGTATACTGCACAAAGAAAAGGTTCTCATTAAAAGAATAGCCAATTAAAATAGAAGGCAAATGAGTGAATTTCTACTCTTTCCTCCTCTTCCTAAATTTCTATCAGTTACTCCCTCTTTCTAAATCTGCCTCCCCCCCCCCCTCTCTTCTTTTTGCCCCAAATCCGTGTTTTGTATTGCCTCAAGTAATCACAGAACTCAATTGTTAGTTTGTGGAAACAGATATTATACATAATAGGAGCAGCAGTAACAGCTAAATTATCAGACATTTCAGAATAGTTCTTTCATTCTTAAGGAACCCAATTCAAACATTGTTTTACTCTTTAGTCTTTCATGCATACAATCTAAAAGAGGGGGGAAATTAATATGCACAGTTGTGATATTACATGAAAATGTAAGTAAAATAGAAAACTAGGTAGAAATCTATATATGTTGAAGGCTTTACTGGTGTGCATTAACTGGTGTACGAATCCTTAAAAATGAGCCATAAAAAAACCCAATCTATTTTTGGAATTCCTGTTTGGCTTGGTAGCTACATTATATTCCTTCTTCAAGCAGCATAATTCTATTTGTCAGGACTCATTTGTTTTCTTATCAGCCCTAACAATATTATAATCATTAAATTGCATTGTGTAAGTTTTTACTGCAAAAGCAACCATAAAAAGACATGTCTGAGATAATTAGAAAAATCAAGATGTGAACTTGGGAATTAGATGACATTAAAGAATTACGAGTTATTTCACCCTGGCTGTGTTACTCTGTGGTTAGAATGTTGGCCCTTGCACTTAAGGATCTCGGACTCAATTTAGGTCTAGGGCACATACCTGGGTTGGGGTTTGAGCCCTATCTCCAGTCAAGGCACGTGTGGGAGGCAATCTCTCTCTTGTTCTTTCTCTGTCCCCCCCTCCTTCCACTCTCTGACAAGTAATGGAAAAAAATAGACTCTGGTGAGGATTAAAAACACACACACACACACACACAAAGAATTGTGATTCACTTTATTAGATGTGATTATAGAGGAATTGGGATGTGCAAGTATATGTCTAAAATAATGTCTTCTTTTTTGCTAAAGAAGCATACTACTGTTTTTTTTTTACAGGTGAAATAAAATGGATTTTGGAATATGGGGTTTTTCCTCTTGTATCGTATATATCTGAAGTTTTCTATAATAAAAAATACTTTTTAGAGTCATCACTGCAATCCAGCATAAACAAAATGTTGCTCTTTTAATTAGGTTTCTTCCAAATGAAATATTTAGTATCTAGGTAAGCATTCTTCCATCAGTCTCTAGGGGTGGGTAAGTCATATTAAAAAAAAAAAAAAAAAAAAAAAAAAAAAGATCCCCTTCAAAAAAAGACCTGTTTTCTTGCTAAATACCAAATGAGGCCAAAAACAAATCCATTCTATTCCTACATTCTCATAATAATGCAACTATTATCATTATATTATTATAGTTTTCCTTTCTATGATTTAACATATAACCTATGGCTCTAACTGATTTTTTCATTGCAATTAGTCTGCCTATCCAAGTTAATGCTAATATTTTAATGAGTACAATTCAGCTTTCCTTTTCCAAAAGCAATCTTTTAACCAGCTGTTGCCAACCTTTCTGACCTCATGAACCACCAGTTGGCTACCACTGCTTTAGACTACTTATAAAAATACATAAAAGAAAATCATAATACTGGTTGCTCCAAGAAGGGAGATGGATGAATGGCTAAAAGACAGTAGAAGGAAGAAGGAAGACTTTATGTAACTTCTTTTATACTTTTTAAAACTTGTAACATTATTGATGTATTTGATCTGTTTTTAAAAATTAAATTGAAATTTTAAAGAAGCAAAGTGAGCATTCAAAGTCCTTTAAACATCTGTCATATTTTCAAAGCCTAGAATTATTAAGGTCCTTTAGGAGATGCACTGAGTTTCATCTCATCTGAACAACACCCCCCAAAAGTTGTCATTTCTTTTTTGTCTCGAGGTGTATTAACAAGTTAATCCCCAGCTAGCATTTTCAAAACTGGCTATATTTTTTTCTTCCCATCAATTCCAACCCCATCCTCACCCCACACAAAAATTTTTTTTTAAAGTCTCAAGTGTGAAAATCTTAAATGTAGATGATATCTACTGTGATAAAGGAAGTATTAACTATTCATACACAATAACAGGGCAGGGCAGGTATGTTATCATAAAAACAGGAAAGCAATTTACATTAGTTTGAGAATATAAAGCAATATCTCATACCCACCCAGTGATTTCACCACAAGTAATAGAAAATAACATTTTAAAATTTCCATAAAACAAAAATTAGTTCCCAATCTACAAAGCCCCGCTTACTTCAAACAATAGTTAATTAAACAAAATTCCAGTATAGCTAACCAATTTGTATAACTCATTGACTCTCATGATTTGGCCTATATAAAATGTTTTCAATTAAAATTTTTTCAGAATGATAACTTGCTGGATCTGCCTTAAGAATGGGAGGTAGGGGGGCAATGTTAAAATATGTACACAGATAATAAAAAAAAAAGAATGGGAGGCAAAAACAAAACCAAACAAAAAACACACACAAAAAAAAAAACACACCAACAACCCTCAATACCCTAAATGAGCGATTTTCCCTAGTTAGAAAATCAGGTAATTTATAGAATAATGGAGTAATAGTGATTAAAACTATGTCTATGAGACATTCTGGACTGAAATCCAAAATAATTTGTTCAGAATTTTTAGTAGGGGAAAAAATGAGATGGGGAGATAAAATCTCAGATCCCCATTTTGCCAGAACAAACCCTAGAATAGCAGAAAAAATAGAACTCTCTACACTTGCCACATTGTTTTTATTCCAGGGCAGAACTCCTCTCAAGTGTTCAATTGAAATGACCTTCTAAAAATTCCACCTATAGAAATAAACTTTATATTTCCTTTCTCTCAGTGAGTTTAGGGTACTTCCCAAAAATATGATGTATTTTCCCCATTTGCAGACCTGAAGTTATATAACAGCAAGTACAAACATTAGCTGAAGCAAGAATTTAGGTTACCCCTAAGTCTCATTCCAAGTTCTCTGTGGGGTATATTATAAATGCCACGTGTATTATATAAATACACGACCACTGTTAAAGTGAATTTCTAGATTACATAGCTCATCAAAACTTAAACTTGGGTGTTGAAACCCATTATCCCTCCAATTTCTTTTATCTAGTCCAAAATAAACTGCTCTAGTCATAGATGGGAATGGATTTAGCAGAGAGAGGCCAAGCTCCACTTTGACAACACTATCTATTTCACTAAGCTCTATATAAATCAGTAAGAACTATGAGCTATTGACATTTTCTCATAAGCTTCCCGGATAATCATTTCAGCAACACGAACTCCCAGGTCATTAAATCATCTGTCAGAGAATTATAAAGCACAATCAGGGCTTGAGAAACAGAACCACAGCTGCACAGAGCACTAGTTTAGAAGTTTTGTTATAAATGTCCCTTGGGAATAATCACAATTTGTTCTGACCTGATGGCAAAAATGACTATTTCCTAAAGCCTACAAAGTACCACCATTATTTGAAAATTAAATATATACATAAGTAAAAAAATAAAATTCCTCTTTCAAACAATGAGCTAGCCTTGACATATGTGGAGAACTATATACATTACCTCTAACTATAGAGTGCTATGCCTCTCCAAGCTATAAAGGCTCTAATTTTAAGTTCTCTTGAAAAAATGGCTAGTAAATGATGCATAGTTTCAAGCTCAATTCTTACAACTGACTTCCCAAAACATAGCCAGTAGCTTCAAAGTAAACCTAACCTCACACATGTAATGCTTATTTCTTCTTCGAGAAAGTCTTCAGGCCTATCCTAATTTACCCAATATCCAAAGACAAAGGGAAAAGTTATTTTAAGGGCTGGAGTCCAAAAAAGAGGACTGCTTCAGCCACGAGGGCAGCACACAATGTCCTCGGGTTACATAACTAGCCGGCTTATAAAGAGAACAACTGAAGCTTTGAAAAGCTAAAGCTATTGAGAGCATTTAAAGATATTCTTCACTCCATCATCTCCAAGGGAAAAAACAGTCTTCAAAAGATATCAACTGCATGTTGTGGGGATAAGAGCTATGAGCTCTGTTTGAGTGATATTATTCATAAAAGATAGAACTTAGGTAAGAGGAGACAGTACTCCTTTGAAATGAGCCAGAAACTTTCTGCAGGGAAGTCTGGAATTCTCATGCACTTTTACCTTTGCACCAAGACACACTTGTGGTAGTAGATTCTAGATTTTGGGAGGGGGGAAAGAGAGGGGTGTCGCGCCAGCGGGGGCAGGGCAAACCTCTACAGAGGTTCCAGCCTAGCAGAGTGCTGCTGCCAAAAATGAGAACTCACATGAGGCAGATGAAGATGCAGAGTGTGTCACTCCAGTCTTGAAGGAGTTACACTGGCTCTCCTGTTAAAAAAACAAAATAAAGCAACAAAACAAAAAATAACAAAAACAGGTTTTAAAACTGTGATGGGCTGGAGTGGAGAGATAGTATTTGGAAATTGGTATTTATAGGAGTTACTGTCCCCTCCTATTTAGAAGCCTGTGATCATCACTAAAATTCGTCTAATTGCCCATAACAAGGGTATTGAAAATAAACATTGAGTATTGTGCATTATTTACTTTTCTGGCACCCTGAGCCTGGAATACAAGCCAAGTCTGATCCTGAAATGTAAATTAAAAGAAAAAAACAATAATTTATTTTTGTCTTAGTTTATTTTCTCCAGCATATTTCAGGTTAATATGGCAGAAATTTAACGCAGTTGGAGCAGTGTTTAAAATTGAAACAGACTAAATAATGATTATAAGAATAAACCAGAGCAGTCTCATGTTGTTTTTAAGTACCTATTTAAAATAAATCTACCTACACCTAATTACCCACTTTTCTACCTTTCCAACACCTAAATTTGCCATCATAATATAGACAAGAACCAACTTCATGTTGCTAAAAATCTAACCCAATGTCTAAATGAGAAAAAGGA